GTCTTCCTGTGTTTGTGTATTTGTGTTTGTGTGTCCCCCCCCCCCCCCCCCCCCCCCCCTCCTGCCTCCCCGTCTCTCTGCCAGCTCCGACTAATGCGTTGGACAAACAGGCCAGCAGCTGGAGGTGCTGGAGAATGAGCGTGCTCGTGCCGACGAACTGTTGGTCCTCCTGCGCCACTACGACGACTTCAATCGCCTGGCTACTGAGCATCGGCTGAAAATGTCCCAGCATGGTGCTGCCCCCGGGGCCGGCATCTCCGTCTCGCCCTTTTCCCAATTTCCCACCACCTTCTCGAACCCGGAGTTGCTCGACGAGGTATGTGGCTGTGAGGGCCTTCCCTTGACGCGAATCGCGCCATTGCTGACGTTCGCCCTCCCCCCCTCCCCCCTGCTATCCATCCGCCTTCGCGTTTAATGTCTCCTCTTCTCAATGTGTTGCAGGCCATTCGCATCATCCCCCTGCTGCTGGACCTGGCACGACAGGTGGCCGCCGCCGGGGGGGGAGGCCCGGCCTCCGGCGATCGCCTGCACTCGCCCCTGGGCATTGGGGCCGGCGATGCGCAGCAGCCACAGCCAGCCGCCAAGGCCGCCACCAAGAAGTCCCCGGCCACGGCGCCGTCTGCGGCGTCCTCCACCACCCCGGCTCCGGGCTCGCCGCTGGCCTTCTGCCCGTACTCAACGCTGGCCCATGTGGAGGATGCCTACCGGCGCATTGTCAACCGCGGTCTACAGCATTTGTCCCTGGCCCAGAAGAAGCACGACATCTTTTCGATGCGCTTGTGGGTGATCAAGCTGACTCGCGCCGGGGCTGGCCACTGTGCGCGGTCGCTCTATATCCGCGGGCAGGCCGTATGCACTCGGCGTGGCCTGGGCCCGCTCAACCTGGCCTCCGATGTGGATCCCTTCCGCGCATCGAGCCTGGCCGACCCATCGGGCTTGTGCGTCGCCATCTCGTCCGGGCCATCACCGCCTGCTCTCCTCATCCTGACACTTTCGCGCTCGCACCTGCCGCACCCACGCACGTCCCGAATCCTGCCTCCTTTGTCGCCGGCCCTTCAACAGTAGCACCTGGGCCCCGCAGCTGCCCAGCATGGCCACCGTCGAGTCGTTGGAGGATTTGACTCAGTCACTGAAGGAGTCTTGCGAGGAAGAATGTCGGCGCATTCGCCTGGTTTTCGGCGAGGAAGCCCCCTCGGTCATCTGGGACATGGTCACCTTCCTGACGCAGCATCTGGTACGATCGTGCACCGCGACCTCCCTCCGCCCGGTTGCCCGGTGGCTGGCTCTCCTTTCCCCTTCCCGATGGCCAGTCGGGAATGACTCACGCCCTGCATCAATCGCTGTCACCGCCACTGCCGCCCACAAAAAAAAAAAAAAAAAGATCGCTCCCCTGGCCAAGACCCTCCTTGACAGCCTGTATCGGGACGTCGCGCCAGCGAAGGCCGATGCCCCGGCCGCATCGGCGGGCGCGCCACCGGCCACCGGCGACCCGGCAGCGGCCAACCCCCGGGTGGCGGCCGATGCCTTGACCATGTACCTGCATTCGCTGGATGCCGTTCATGACATCATTCGCTCGTGGCTGGCGCTGGCGGTGTCCTGCCGGGGGTCGGTCCGGTCGTCGCTTGCCGGGGCCGGCATCGCCGGGCCCGGGGCCGCCGGGACCGCAGTCGGGCTGCTCTCTGACAAGGAGACGCCCGAGGACTTTGCGGAGGCGGCGGCCGCTTCGGCCACATCGCTGGCACTGGCCGCGGATTTGGAAGATTCCCACCGCCTCCTTCGGGCCACGCTGGCCGAGCATCTGAATGAAGAGCGCTACTGCAAGATCGAGACCCGGGCACTGAAGGCCTCCTTCGACCGGGCTCTCCTCGGCTTTAACACCTATCGACAGACCAGACGCCGGGCCATCGAGCAAGCGGCCAGCCAGCAGCGCTCCTTCGGGCTGTCGCTTTTCGGCGATTCGAACAATTCCCCGGAATCGGACCCGGAGTTCCTCGTCATCCGGCGCCTCGGTGGTGTGGGCCAGTATTGGAGTGATTTGACGTGTGCCGAAATCACCCAGTCGGCCACGGAGTCCTTCCGGCGCATGTCACGTCTGCTGCCCCGTCAGGCCGCGTACGTTCCCTTGCCTGTGGCGTCTCTCACCATGGACGGCACCCACGGATTTGCCACTGCCCCAATGACTCACCCCTTTTTGGCGACATTATGCGTGGCCCCTTCGCTCGTTGCGAAAAAAAAAAAAAACAACAACCCACAAACAAACAAACCCTCCTCCCAGCCCCGATCGCATCTCCAATCTCTACACCAACTCGCTGCTCTTCACTCTGGAGAACCGGTATCTCGTGCCGGCCATGGAATTCCTCCTGCATGATGTTCCGGTGTCCTTGGTGCATGATGGCCCGAACAAGGCCACCACCCCGGCTGAGCCCATTTTCTCGGTGTCCCTCACGCCGCTGGGCATCCTGACCTCCTTGCAGATGGCCTTCACCATTGCCGACACCATCCAACAGCACTTCCGCTCGGGTGTCGTGGCACATACGCTGCAGATGACGACCAACCCGGCGACCGGCATCGCCGGCGGGCCTGCCCCGGCGGCCAGCTCGACCAGCTCGACCAGCAACAAAGCCGACATGGCCGCCTCGTCCAGTGCCTATCGCAGCTGCCTGGTGGCCCGGAATTCGCTGCTCAGCAACCACGAAAGTCGCATCAACGTCGTGGTCGATCGGTTCATCGAGTGTACGTCCCGCCCCGCCCCGCCTCTGTGCCATCTTGCCTCCCCTCTACGGGGCTTTTCTCGACGGGCCGACTCGACTGCAGGCTGTGCCTAACTTGCCGGATGTTCAACAGCCACAACACGACAGCTGGCCCTGCTCCTCTCGCGCCAGGAGCGCTCCGATTACCGAATCCAGCATGACAAGAAGGAGCAAGCGTCCCTTCGCTCGGATGACACCTCGGCTGTGCGCCTGTCTCTCTCTGTCTCTCTCTCTCTCTCTCTCTCTTTTGCGATCCAGCATCCCTGACCGACATGCTTACATGTTGCTCCCTCGTTCGCCGGCCGGGACCGTTCCGATGCGACTGCCGCGGGCACCTCCCACCTCCCAGGCCGTTCGTGGGGTGATCACATACATCTCTCGGATTCAGGAGGCCCTGTCAAAGTCTCTGGACGGGATCAACCGGTCAACCCTGGCGCAAGAGCTCGGCCTGCGCTACCATGCCACACTTGTGACACATCTCTTCGGCTCGGACTATGTCCTGCTGGCAAACGCCGCGGCGGCCGGCGGGTCAGGCTCCTCGGCCGGTGGCAGTGCATCATACCTTCCCCCGGCATCGGGGACAGGCAAACCGGCCAAAATTGAGGCAGCGCTGCAGGGAGTCACCGGTATTGGTGGCATGGCCCTGTCCCGGGATCTCGGTACTTACCGCGCCTGCCTGAGTCGTTTCGGGTCGGCGGTCGTGGACAAACAGTGCGCTGCTTTATCCCCGTCCTCTCTCTCTCTCTCTCTTCCCCCCTGCCGCCTAAGCAGGCTTCCCCATCACGCTCCCGCTGGCTGACCTCCGCGCCCCCGCGCCCCCGCCCCCTTCCCCTCTCGCCGTGCATGGCCGATGGCAGGATGGGCGAACTGGTTGATCTGTCGGCCCTCTTCGTTGTTGGGCCGGAGCAGCTGGCGGATGTTGTCCGGCGAGTGATGAGCTCCGGTGTGGCCGATCGCCACCGGGTGCAGAAACTTCTCTTCCTACGAGCCGACTCGGCGCCCGGGTCGTCTGTCGAGTCGGTGCGTGCCGCGCAGCTTGTGTCCGCCGCTGCCGGACAGGCACTCTGAGAATGACGCTGCCCACCCACACCAGCACAGGGGGGCAATAAACCATGTCTGCCAGATGTGTCACACATTTTGGCGCGCCCGACACTACGTGAGCAAGCAGGTGTGTCCCAACGCACAAGGAAAGAGAGGGAGATAGGAGGAGGAGGAGAGAGAGAGGGGGAGGGGAGAAAAGCGAGGCAAGTAATTCGGTGTTTATAGTGGGTGTTTTTCTTTTAGATCAGGGGATGAAGATAGGGGAAGGGAAATCGCTGAGGGAGCGGTGCGTGAAGGATTCTACAAGGACGCCAGGCAGAGGGAGGAAGGGAGGGAGAGAGAGAGAGAAATGCGAGGAGGGAGCGGGGAGAAGAAGATGGGAAAGGAAAGAGGGGTAGTATACAGCCCTCTCAGTGGCCTGCAAAAAGAGAAAGGGGGGGGGAGGAGGAGGAGGAGGAGAGCGGGGGACACAGAGCGGGCCAGGGAAATGGGTCATATTTCGACCCTTGCGTCGTTAGCCACTCGCCCTGCCCGCCCCTTTCCCGCCTCCCCCCTACCTGCCTTCCAGCTCTATCTCAATCGCTCCTCTCTCCTTCCGCCTCTCTTTGGATCGCGCGTGCGAATTGGCAAAGGGAAAAGGGCGAAGACCAGGCCGACGGTCGAGGGATGCGCGGGAAAGAGACCATCGCATGCGAGTGTGCCTCATGTGCGTCCTTGTCGATGCCCAGCGCGATGCACACATCCATATGCATATGGAATGCACACACCCAGGTGGCCGCTTTTGTTGGACGCCTGGGCCTACTCCTCGGACAGCATCGCTTTCTCCGCCTTGGCGGGCTTCTCCCTGTCTCTCTCTCTCTCCTGCTCTCTGTCTGTCTTTTCAGGGCCAGATGGTGAGGGCCGCCAGGACGGTCTTCATGTCGGTCCGCTCGCAGACATCTGGATCCCAGCAGAGCTGGAGCGTGTCCACAATGAGGGGGATCTCGTGGGACGCATGGATCGGGAGGCTCTCGTGCCCCTCGCCCATGGATGCCGAGGTGCTGATGGAGGCGGAGCGCAGGCCGATCGAAGAGGAGGACCCGGTCACCAGACTGTCGGAACGGTTGTGCAGCGACTGCGACAGCGAGGAGAAGGCTGCCCCGGGGGAGGAAACCGGGAAGACATCCGGCCCACCATCCAGCCCGGCGGTCCCGCCGGAGGACGGAGACAGCGGCTCACAGGGCGATAGAGCGCTGGCCGAGGAGGGGGCCACCGAGGACGAGCCACGCGGGGCCAGATCCGGCAGCTCCGGACGATCACCATTGACCACATGGGTGATGATCTCATCCAGAGTGATACCTAACGGGGGGGGGGGAGAGAGAGAGGAGCCGTAGGTCAGCATTTGTCGGCGGCATGGGGAAAGGCGAAACGAGGTCCCCGGGTGCGTGCCAAGTGGCAGGCGAGGAAGGGAGAAGCCCGGTCAGGGACCACAAAAAGCCGGGGAGCGCCAGTCACCGCCGAGAGTCGACGGCCAGCCTGGGTGCGATCATCCTCCCGAGCATGTGCTCCTCCTGTTCTTCGCGCTGCCCGGGCGCCCTGGCCAAGCATTGTCGTGTGCGTACCCTGCCACGCGCGACGGCGCGTCACCAGCTCGTACAGAACCACGGCATAGGCATAGGCGTCCGCCTTGCGGGACATCTCCGGGCTGAACTCCAGCACGTCGGAGGCGGGAGAGGCGTGATGCCCGGCGGCGGTCATGGATTCGCGAGCGCGCTGGAAGTTGCGCAAAACCTCCGGCGAGCAGTAGGGAGCCGTCCGGCGGTTGACGCGGTTGATGGGGATGTAATTGTTGTCGGCCACGCTGCGAGCCTGGCCGAAGCTGCCGAGCACCGCCTGGACGGCCCAGTTGGCCGGCGGCGGCATGCCATGAATCGGGCCATCAATCGGCGCCGGGCCGGTGATAATCTCCGCCTGAGAGGAGTACCCATACCGGTCGATGTCCTCCTGGGGGAGGTAGCCGAATTGCAGCATGTGCGACGCCGCATCGCGATTGGCATTGACCGCGAAATCGAAGAGCTCCGCCGGCAGGGGAGCCAGCCCGGGGTGCAGCTTGCTGGCTGGCCGGCTGGTGGACAGCGGGGTGATCCAAATGTGCTCGGGCATGACATTCCGGTGGACGAACTCCGACTTGTGAATGTATGCCAGGGCAACGGCTGGCGTGGCGTGTGTGTGTGTGTGTGTGTGTGTGCGTTTGGGTGAGTGCCAGAGGGAGAGAGGGTATTTGCGCGCATGCGAGGGCGAAGAGGAGGAGGCTGGGGGGAAGGCTGGCAGAAAGTGGATCCCGGAATCGAAGGGAACACATAGGTGGGGCCCGCGGGGGGGAGAGAGAGAGAGAGGAGACGGCTGGAGAGGGAAAGGCGAAAGGCCATGCTGCACGCACAGATATCAGTGGCAATCTTCAGTGCGGTGGCCGGGGCGATGGCCAGCGGCGAGTCAATCAGGTGGCGCAGGGTCACCGGGCCGAGCCAACGCTCGACCAGAATCGGAGGGCTCGGCGACTCCAGTGGCAGGTTCAGGAAGGCGGGGGGCAGGAAGGACTTGGGCGCGGCAATGTCATCCCCGCCATACACACCAGCCAGCTGAGTGATGTACTGGTTGGCGGAGTTCCGAGGGCCGAAGTTGAGGGCAGCCAGGGCAACGGCCTCGCGAAGGAAGCGGCTCCGGGCGTGCATCGTGGCTGTGTGCGTGGGTGGGTGTGAGAAAAGGGGGAGAGAGAGAGAGGGAGAGAGGGAGGGAGGGAGGAGAAGCAGGGAGAGGACCAGACAAAAGGAAGGGGCGAGGGGGGGGGGGGGGGCCGGCCTGGGCGTACGGGGGGACGGCTGGACAGTGACGACAAGGTCACCCTCGGTGGTGCTGTCGCTCGTCTTCATGACGGCCGTGTGGATGGTCGGGGCGCCGACACCCGGAGACACGCCATCCGGGAAGGACGGCGCGCAGGGGATGGTGTCGGACTCGGCATCAGAGACGGCCCCGGTGGCCGAGGCATCCGCACCGGAGAAGGTCTCCTCATCGGTGGAGGGGGCCGTCCCGGGTCCGGCCCCGGTGACCAGCGGGTGCGAGGCAATCAGACTCGGGGCCACATCCACCACAAAGGAACTCAGCGCCGCATGGATCAGCGGCACGGAAACCACCGAGCCGGAGGGATCGGTCGCGAGACCGGCCGCCGCGGCGGCCGCCACAGCAGCCACCGTCGGGGACGAGGGGACCGCCGAGTCGGCGGCCTCGGGCTTGGCATCGGCCTGGGTCGCAGCCATGGTCATGGCCAGGGCGGGCAGCGCGCGCAGCCGCTGCGACAGATCCTGTGCCGAGGCGAAGGTGATCGGCTGCAGCCGGGCCGGCAGTTCGGTGATGTCATCCTCCCCGCTGAGGACCGTCCCATCATCGTAGATGGCCGGGCAGGAGGTGGCCACGGCCGGGCCGGCCAGGTTGGTCCCGGTCTTGGTATTGTAGGCGGGCGCCAGAGAACTCTCCATGTCTCGCTCGGCCTGCTCCTCGCGGCGCTGGCGCCGGCGGTTGCGGAAGACACAATCCACCACCGAGTAGGCCACAATCAGCGCGACGATGGTGAACGGGACGATGATTCCGGCCAGCAGACGGCTATCGTCGCGACCGGTGCCACCGCCTCCGGGAGGCATGGTCGGCGCTCCGCGCGTGACAACGCGGGCTGGAGATGGACAGGGGGAGGAGGGGAGCCCCAGAAGAGTGGCAGTAAGCAGCCGGGGGTGGGGGGGGGGGGGGGTTAGAAGGACGGGGGGTAAATAATGCTGGTTGCCGGGGGGGGGAAGGGGGGGGGGGGGGGGGAGGCAAGATCCCGAGGACGCACGGAAAGGGGGGTGGCTCGGACCACGTCGCGGAACCCGGCCGCAGGGGGGGGGGGGGGGGGGGGGGGGGGGGGGGGGGGGGGGGGGGGGGGGGGGGGGGGCCCCCGCCGCGGGGCCCGCCGGCGGGGGGGGGGGGGGGGGGGGGGGGGGGCCCCGCACCCCCCCCCTGGGGGTCGGGTGGCGGGGGGGGGGGGGGGCGGCTCGCCGCATCCGGCAGCAATCCGCGCTCAGCCAGGCGTTCAAAAGAGCGCCAGGCTCCTTGTCCCCGGCTGGCGCCCGGCCCTGGAGAGCCCGCATGCAGCCCGCTCGGCCCCCCCGTGGACCGTCCCCGGGGGGGTTGCGCGCCATGCCCCGGGAAGGGCATCTGTCGGCCGGGGCCGGGGGACCGCCACCGGGTGGATGCCCCCCCCCCCCCCCC